CCTGGTCTGATATCGGTTATTCGGAGCCGTGGGTCCTCGGGTGGTGGAAGCCGTCTCTTCTTGCGCCAGCGGCGTGCTGGGTATGTGTAGAGCTGTCCTGGCGCAACGCCTGCTCCACCCAACGCCACAAGCACATCAAGCGAGCTCTGCCAATTGCCGCTTTCTGAAGATAACACTTCACACAGCTTGTTTTCAACTAAACGAAAGCATCTACTTTCATACATGGTTCAGTGGTAATCACCTTTAAGATTATCACCATAACAAACAGGGTTTATATCTCTGTTCAAACTGAAAATGTAAGATCCTAAATTATGCAGCTATGTTAACTCCATGTATATCCCTAAAGCATATAATTCCACGTGCACTAATAGCATCCATTCAAACGCAAATAGGGTAATTACACATTCCACTCATCTCCCAGATGGTCAACATGCAAATTGGCACCATAGGGTTGTATGGGCACTAGTTTGTGAAATGCTGCTCATTGAAAATCATGTCAGTGTACGGGTGTAAAAAAACGCACCCAACTCTTATAGACAAAATCAGAAAACACAACCATGCACTATGGGAAGGGAAGCCACAAGCTGTGTCCCTTACAATTAATGGAATTTATGGACCTCCATGGCAACTTGTCCACCAATTCAAAATAACCTTTTCAATGCACCTTTGCATTGAAATGATATGCACGTTAGTCAACAACAACAAAAAACGTAGCTCTTATTTTGTTGTTACACTTTGGCAGTAACACACAGGGCCCAATACAAATTTGATGTTTTTTCATGGAAAAAAAAGTAACCATTAGAAAATAAAGCATGGTCGTGAGACAAGCGACGTCACTGGAGTGCTATCATGCTTAATGCCATATTTAAATTATGTTTTCATGAACGAAGAAGCAAACCAATGTCGGACAGCCTGGGACACAAAGACTGTATTGTGTCTGTAAGAGTTGTTGGTGGGTTTTATGGGTGCGTGTTATGTGAAGTATTTCAATCTGAAACCAAAAATGTTGGGGGAGAGGCTGCGCGGACCAGGTCCACGATGCCGCTTTTCCATCCATATGTAGCAGTTGTTCTGCGCGACACCCGTCTGCGAGTCCAGGAAGGGCAGGCGTACACTCCTCTCAGCACACAGCCGTGCATTGTAGTTGTGGCAATGCTCTATCGCCTCCCTGTAGAACTGGTCTCCGAGGCTGCGAGTTTGGATATCATGCACAAACACAGAAATGTAACGCACGCATGTAGGCATTGCAGCGAGAGGTTCAATGCAACCACGTGGGAATGCCGGTATTTAACACGTGGGTATGTCGTTTTAATATATACAGGGAATCTAAGCATGACGGTGTTAACCCCAAACAAAACCAAGCAGCAAAGGGAGAGATAGTAACATTCACACAACAGGGGCTTCTAAGGAGGTTGTGTCCTAAAATACACACCAAGGTGAGGAACGATATAGTCAATACGATATACACACGTGCGTTTTGAAGGAGGGCATGGTTTAACACGCACACATACTATGGTACAGCAGAGTGGAAAGAGAGGTGCAATGAGGCATGACAGTGTATCACACACTGGTCAATGAAGACATTTTAATACAAACACAAATATCCTTTCAGACTGCCCTGGAAAGTGCTGTTAACGAGCACATGTATTTCAACACGCGTGCAGGAGCAATGAGAATTGTATATACTGCTGACTGATGGTGGGGGGAAGAGGCAGTTTTAAAGCACAGATGGGAGCAATGGGGGAGGGGATTTAACTCATTCACGCCCCACGCCATCACGGCGGCCAGTGACGGCATCAACGGCTGCGCTAACCCAAGGTCGCTCTCGTATTTGACCATCGCCTCCTCAACACATAACACACATAATAGCATTGTATTAACATGAAACAATAACTGCAAACAATAACGATAGAGACAATAAGGCGGCTTCCCCTGCGTGACCCCGGTCACCGTGACCCCCATTCCGGTCAAACGTGGCCGAGGCTGCGGCCATTGTCACGGATCAACGTGTCCACGCACAGCGCCAACACGATTATCGTATCTTCGTGTGTGTGTGTATAAATGTCCGTATGAATTGTATTGTTATACGAGGAGCGATATAGTCGCTGACAAGACTGTAGACAGCTTGCGAGGCCGTGACTCCCGACGAGAACTTTTGCAATTAGGACAATAGCGCGACAACAAGGCACGCCACGTCGAGGCACGACGAAGAAGCCCTCGCGCGAGTTGCGACGTACGTACACCGCTTTTAAACAAAAAAAGAAAGACGTTAACGTTTATAAATCGCGTCGTTTTTAACGCGCGTGAGGGAGTCTGGCGTCGCCACGTCCTCAGCTCAACACCGCCTCAACCCGCGCTCCCTCACCGCATGCGAACATCATTTGGTGGCGCGATTTTAATCAAGAGTGGCAGGGCGACGCGATGAGGCAGTGTTTGTGCGGGAGAAAGAGAGCGAGAGAGACACAGACGACGCGAAGAAGATAACGCGGCGGCGGCGGCGGGTGGAGGTGGTCGTGGAGGCGACGCGGTCACTTACGCCTTGAGCGGGTTCTGCACCACGGCCGCCATCTTGCGCTTCTTTGTGCCGCGCGCGGGAAAACAAAGAGCCGAGCCCCGCCCCTCCACAGCCGAGCCCCGCCCCTCACTACCCGAGCCCCGCCCCTACTACCCTAGCCACGCCCGTTATTACTCAAGCCCCGCCCCTCACTACCCGAGCCCCGCCCCTCACTACCCGAGCCCCGCCCCTACTACCCTAGCCCCGCCCGTTATTACTCAAGCCCCGCCCGTCACTACTCAAGCCCCGCCCCTCACTGCCCTAGCCCCGCCCCTCACTACTCTAGCCCCGCCCATTATTACTCAAGCCCCGCCCCTCACTACCCTAGCCCCGCCCATTATTACTCAAGCCCCGCCCCCTCGCTACTCTAGCCCCGCCCATTATTGCTCAAACCCCCCCCCTTACTACCCTAACCCCGCCCATTATTGCTCAAGCCCCGCCCCTCACTACTCTAGCCCCGCCCTTAATTTATTAAGTTCCCGCCTCACTGCCCTAGCCCCGCCCCTCGCTAATCAAGCCCCGCCCCTAATCACCATAGCCCCGCCCCTAATTGCCATAGCCCCTCCCCTAATCACCATAGCCCCGCCTCTCATTACCCAATCACGTCCTCCTCACCGCTCAAGCCCCGCCCCTTGCTGCCGCCCGAACCCCGCCCCTCCATTACCCGAGCCCCACCAGCTTCTCACGACCCCCGAGCGATACATTATTTCAATCGATAATAGTTTTTTTTGGTTAGATCGCGTAAACATGTATAAATGTCAGTTTAACACGTAGGCTTTTGCGACCAATGTTATTCATAATCAACGTTTTTGGGTTAAATCGCGTTATTTATAAATGTGTCGTAACCCTCCACCACCCGACACGGCCAATCAGCAAAAAAGTGTCACGTTGACAAAAGATAAATAGTGCACTGCTTTAGCCCACCGGTGTGTTGAAGCGTGAAACCACAGCATTTTCAACACACCGGTGGGCTAAAGCAGTGAACTATTTTGTCTTTTGTCAACGTGACACGTTTTTTCTGATTGGCCGTGTCGGGTGGTGGAGGGTTACGACACATTTATAAATAACGCGATTCAACCCAACAAAAATATGTATTGTGGATATTGATCGCGAAAGCCTACGTGTTAAACTATTTCAATCGACATTTAACATCGACGAATACTGCAACAAATGTGTTGTTCCTTGAGGCTAAACTGTTCGTCAAAACGAGACAATGGTTGAAGACGGAAAGGGTGCACACGGAGGCAAGCGCACAACGCACGAGTCAATTGCTCTAATCGATGCGTGGGAGGGGATCTTTGGTGTACAATCAAAGCGCCGTGAGAGGAGGATGAATCGTTGCATGGAGCGTTACTCCCCCAGCACCCCCCACAACACCACCACCCACAACACCACCACCACCCACAACACCACCTCCCCCCACAACACCACCACCACCACCCACAACACCACCACCACAACACCACCACCCACAACACCACCACCACCCACAACACCACCCCCCACAACACCACCACCACCCACAACACCACCACCCCCCACAACACCACCACCACCCACAACACCACCACCACCATAACACCACCACCACCCACAACACCCCCCCCCCCCACAACACCACCACCCACAACACCACCACCCACAACACCACCACCTCTACCCACAACACCACCACCCCTACCCACAACACCACCCCCCACAACACCACCACCCCTACCCACAACACCACCACCCCTACCCACAACACCACTCCCCACAACACCACCACCTCTACCCACAACACCACCACCCCCCACAACACCCCCCCCCTCTACCCACAACACCACCACCCCCCACAACACCACCACCCCCCACAACACCCCCCCCCCCCCACAACACCACCACCCCTACCCACAACACCACCACCCTACCCACAACACCACCACCTCTACCCACAACACCACCACCTCTACCCACAACACCACCACCCCCCACAACACCAGCCCCCCCCCCACAACACCACCACCCCCCCACCACCACCACTGCCTGTGCCCCGCTGCTAACGGGCCCGGCAGCCAATAGCAGAGGGGCTCTTGAACCGTCACGCCCACACCCTGCCGCCAATTAGCGCGAAGCACCCAATCGGAACTCTCCCTCGTGCCCCACCTCGCCCCACGGGAGCCAATGGCAACCACCCCCCTACCACCCCCCCACCCACCCCCCACCCCACCCCCCCACCACCCCCTTCGCCCCCTCACACCCTCCCCCCCAAAAACCCCTCCCTTCTACCCCTCCCCGCAACCCCCAACCCACCCGCGCGCACGTGACGCGGGTGGAGACTGATCACGTGACGCGGGTGGAGACTGATCACTCGCGCGGGCCACGTTTTGTAAACACGTAACCGGGGGAAATTGTCATTTACTGCAACGTTGCGATTATTGCCGTTTCTAAACCACGCGTTCTGTGAATCGATGGGGGGGGGGGGTTGTCGTTGTTGCGTGTGGTGTTTAAAATGTGTCGACCGTGCATTTAAAAAAAAGGATGCGTTAACTCGAGCGCAGCGATATACGCGGCTGTACTTGTAGTTAGTTGTATGCGGATGCTGACACGGTGGGTGGGCGAGCGAGCCGTCGTGCGTGAACCTCGGCACCACGCTGTGAGAAAACGTAGGCGTGACGTCATCGCTCAAGCCGCGCTATGACGTCATTCTCGCGTGAACGTCTCGTTGCTGCGTGACGCAATCGCAGAGTTTCCGGTGACGTCACTCGCGGAGGGTTTCCCAGACCCCGAGGCCGCGATGGCGTCCGTGGACGGCCGAGGTGAGGATGGAGGCGCTGCTGCTGCTGCTGCACCACACAGACACCGCCTCAACCTCGACTACCACCATCAACCATCACCTCCACTTCTACCACTACCATCAAGCACCTCGACTTCTACCATCTTCACCACCACCATCATCAACCACTTCTACCACCACCATCAATCATCTCGACTTCTACCACTACTACCACCATCAGCAGCTCGACTTCTATACCATCTTCACTACCACCACCATCAATCACCTCGACTTCTACCACCACCATCAATCATCTCGACTTCTACCACTACTACCACCATCAATCAGCTCGACTTCTATACCATCTTCACTACCACCACCATCAATCACCACCTCGACTTCTACCACCACCATCAATCACCTCGACTTCTACCACTACCACCACCATCAATCAGCTCGACTTCTATACCATCTTCACTACCACCACCATCATCAACCACTTCTACCACCACCATCAATCACCTCGACTTCTACCACTACTACCACCATCAATCAGCTCGACTTCTATACCATCTTCACTACCACCACCATCAATCACCACCTCGACTTCTACCACCACCATCAATCATCTCGACTTCTACCATCTTCACTACCACCACCATCAATCACCACCTCGACTTCTACCATCTTCACTACCACCACCATCATTAAACACTTCGACTTCTATCACTACCACCACCATCAATCTCGACTACCACCATCTTCACTACCACCACCAACATCAATCACCTCGACTTCTACCATCTTCACTACCACCACCACCATCAATCTCGACTTCTACCACTACCATCTCAACCACGACTACCATCATCAATCTCCTCGACTTCTACCACTACCATCTTAACTACCGCCTCCACCATCATTCACCCCGACCATCACAATTACAACCACTGCCAGCGCCATCATCTTGGCAGGACCCTCCTGAAATGGTCATGAGACTCGGTGAGGCCTTCCTGGGTAGGAAACATTTAATCAAAATCGCCACGAACGGCAACTGCCATCATCTCAACTATGGTCACCACCCCGATAACCACCAGCTACAGTACAAGATCATACCTAAAGAAGCATCATCTTATTCTTGGTTTTTTCGGTAAAGTCACGTAGAAGGGAAATAATAAAAAATAAATAAAATTTTGTTGCTGTGGTTTTCAAACCTGATGATTGCTTGTGTTGCAATCGAAACGTCGTGAGAATTGTATTGTTTTTATTTTATTATTTCCCTTCTACGTGACTTTACCGAAAGAACCAAGAATATGAATCCCTACAGTCACGAAAGCTTTAAATCGAAATAAAAGCATCATCTTATAAACCATCGTCATCTCAAACACGAGCTCAAATGTTACTGAACTGTATCTCCTTCACAACCATCATCTTCTCTGCAGCACCTTCATCTCCACGGCATCACAGTCATCATCATGTCCAAAATCGCCATCACCATTCGTATGGATGGATTCCTTAGTTGGGCTGTATGAGCCCGATACATTGTCGTTTGAGAACAATCGCAATTTCGGAGAAAATGGTCCTGATCAAAACTAGTGTGGTTAATGACTGGTGTGATTAATGTGCATGGGATATAGCCATACAGTGAGCCTACATTGGGGAGAGTGGACTCAGTGTTAAGGCTGTGGCTATATTGGCTGCAGCACTGTTCTTTCAGACGGCTGATGCTACTACAGTCCTGAGACGCGGTGCAAGAAAAGCACCCTAACGATTAGGGCCAGTAATGTGACTAGGAGTAGTCCAGAGGATAGCCTGACCCGAACCCCCAACCTTAACCCCTACATTAACACTCAACGAGCAGCCTTCATAAATATGCAATGTGTTGAAAGCTAAAGAAGTGGGAATTTGACAGGACCGCTAACGATGCAAGCGGAACCGATTACTGTATGTTATTTGAACACACACCCGGTCCATAATTTTTTTTATCTGCTGGTATTATCGTGGCAGAGACTTGGGTTTATTTCCTCGCATCTGTAGGGGGACAGTAAGTTGTCAACTCCCTCTTCTGAGCGGTGCCACCGCTACGTGGTTACACGTGAACGCGACTTAAACAGTCTGAATAAGTAGCTCAATTTAACATGGAGGCTTTCGCAACCAATCCATAATAGTTTTTTTGGGGTTAATTGGCTGTGCCTGGTGCTGTCGGGTTTAACGACACGTTGATATTTACGCGATCTAACCCAACAAACCTCCATTATGGAGTATCTCAAATTTTCATTTGAAGTATCTCAGTTGTCGAGCGCCTCTGCCTTACCTGCCCTCCTGCCACTCGCCCCCCCCCCCAGACACGCTGCTGGGGATTTCGTGGCACGACAGCGCGTGGATCCCCGTTCTCAACCCCGCCAATGTCCTCGATTACTTCTCCGAGCGCAGCAATCCCTTCTACGACCGCACGTGCAACAACGAAGTCGTCAAGATGCAGCGGCTCAGCCTGGAGCAACTCAAGTGCGGCCGCGCGTGACCCCCCTCATCACACACACGCACGCACGCGCGCACGCAGCTGATGATGTCCAGTGATGTTGTTTATTATGGTCAACCGTCATTGGACAACTTAGTTCAATGCTGTGTTAAAAATACACACCTCCAACACTTTACAACCCTAATTGTTTGGAGCTTAAATGCTTGGAAATGAATGTTTTTAATTGTTACGGTTTTTTTTACATCCCTGCACTGTCATAACCATCAGGCTACGTGACACGATGGTTAGAGTGCAGGGTTTGAAATTTGCAAGATGTAAGTGGGGGGAATGACCTGACCTTTCGCCCCTTGGGTCGATTAAATGAGTATCACTTTGTGGAAAAATTGATTATCCTTTTAGTACCACTACTGTAGCAATGTCGAATTTCAACCACTGGCTGAGGGCAATAATCAGGAGCTAAATACTGCTCCAAGCTTGTTTGAGCGGGACACCACTTTTATGTTTTGTATTGTCATCCCTTTTGTTCTGTCCAGCAACATGACAGGCCTGGAGTACATCTTACTGCATACCCAGGAGCCGATCCTGTATATAGTGCGCAAGCAGCACAGACACTCGCCCACACAGGGTGAGCCAGCTAGGGCAGTGCTGCACACATGCTGTTCATGTCACCTCCACCTTTAAGGAACGAGGCTGAAGCTGGCTTATTTTCCCGGCTTCTTAATTCAGTGAGCGGCTACTCTCTTACTGCTCTGGTACGAAGCTATGCCAGTTCAACCTGGCACTGAACTCCTGAAACCAACCTAGTTAAACCGTATTGTTGAGTCAAGTATGAAGCCACATTCCATTATATGCCAAATCAACAGTTTCATCAGATCTAACAAAACAGCTTTCCGAAAGCAAATTTTCCTATTTTCCACGAAGTTATAAAATTGCATTAAACACGCTATATTTTGGTAACACATGAAGAATACTTTGTTAATTAGTTGATGCTGTTGTCTTTTTTGCAGTTACCCCATTTGCGGATTTCTATATCATTGCGGGAGTGGTATACCAGGCTCCTGACCTGGGCACGGTCATAAACTCAAGAATAGTATGCAGCGCACACAGTACAGACACTGCCTACACCCTACACGTACCACTGCCCAAGCATGCAGACAGCATGGACCTGAGTCGCCAAATGCAAAGTAAACATTGGTGAAATGTATGTTCTATCTCAAATGATCACCAATGAATTCAGTGTTAATAATTCCCAACATGTATTGTCTATTCAAATATTTTCAATAGTTAACATTAGATTACTGTGATGAATTTATTTAAATAATCTTGTACTAAAAGAGTGCCTGTTGTACTTTTGACAACAGCTGTCCGCTGTCCACAACATCCAGTCCGCATTCGATGAAACCCAAGCGTATTCACGTTATCACCCCTCCAAAGGTTATTGGTGGAGGTTCAAAGACCAAGACTTCAAAGGTAAGCAACACAACATTAACTGGCACGAGTCGGCTCACCATGCTTGATGCTTGCTGCACGTCACTTAACAATTACAATTATTTTTGTTCCAGAAAAGTCAAAGCCAAAGGACAAGAAGGATGAACCGAGCTCCTACTTCCAGAGACAGCGGGTGGACATGCTGCTGTCCGAACTGTGCCAGAAATTTCCACCTAAATATTACCAGGTCTGTCTGCCATCAAATATGTTGAAACCCTTAGTCAATGCCAGTGTACGACCGGATTAAAAAAGTTAATTTGTCTTGTCTTTGCAGCCAAAGCCTGGAGAGAAACCTCTTGCAGGTAAATGAAAACCCCCACATTGAACACTCACCAAAGCCTCTCGCAACCACCATGTGTTTTAAGAATGGGAGCCATATTAATCCTTCCCATACTCAAGTACCTCTCACTCGCTTCTCCTTTCTGCAGCCGAGCAAGTGAAGAAAGAGAGTGAGCCCGTGGCAGAATCTGCCGTCAAGTCTGAAGACAAAGAATCAGCCAAGGGCGGCGGCACGCAGTCTGGGGCGGCCACAAAGCCGCCTGCTGAGAAGCGGAGCCGTCTGGCATAGGGGTGCAACAGACCCGCTTCCCAAACCCCAGCATTGCTTCTTTGCGCCAAGGATACCCTTATGCGATACGTTTACACAGCAGTTAGATGGTGCTATGCTAACTTTTACACTTTTTTTACATTACAGGCTCTATGCGTGTTTGCAAGTTAAATATGTATATACAGTGCATACGTAATGGGTGATTGTCACCTTTGAGTGCTGCCAATGCCAAGTACAGCATTCGGTGTGAAGAGTGGTGTCAGTGAACCTCGACTGTCCCCAGCCAGTGCAAATTGATTTACAATGCAATAATTCGAATTCTGATTTGGCTCACAAAAAAACTGTTGTATAATTCAAAGAGCGATGGGGTTGTGGTTGAATGTAAATATTCTCTCATTTTTACTTGTTATAAACAAAATATTAAAACGGCTTTACAGTGTAATTGTGATGTGGTTTATTTTCACACGACATTATAAAACAGTTAAACACGTCTCAATGTGAACATTTTGGTGCTGTGTAAATACACCTTGATTCACATTTGCAAGTTGTTTGGGTGATTTGTTCAATACAAAACATTAAAGCATAAAACATTGCAATGTTTAGTTTCACATAAAATAACCATTACCGCTGAGAGGCTTAGTTTAATGTGGCGTGTGTTACATACTTCAACAAAAACATCTTTATGGGCTGGATTTATAAGTCCCATCTGGGGAATAGATCATGGAACTTTAGTTACGGCTATTCGGTGATTGAAAACCCTTTCTAATGTTATTCTGCAGGACCACTGTCAATTCATATAATTTGGGTAACTATGATCACAAATGTCTGGTATCAAATGCTGTAAACAAAACTAAAATGTTACAATCCCAGCAGTTTAGTACTATCTTATTGGAGAGTAAAACATGTCCATAAATAGTAACAAGACTTGCACCGACACCCACTATTTTCATGCAACTGTCTTGTTACCCAAACGATCAAACACACTGACCACCCGGTCATCGCAGCCACTCGCCAGGACACCCTGCGAACTGTGGCCGCGGCCGTTGCCACTGCTGCTGCTGCTGACCCTCGCACTTGGTGCAGTCCTCTTGATGGTCACGGTCAGGGCTTTACTTCCCACGCGGGCCTGCACGGCGCCAGTGCCGCCCAATCTTGCGCCAGTGCCGCCCAATCTTGCGCCGACGCCACTGCTGCTCGACACGCGGCTCTCGCTGCTCGAAGCCTCGGCCACGTGCTTCCCCAGGCGCTCCAGCACCTTGGGTCTGCGTGGCGGCTGCTGCTGCTGCTGCTGCTCCTTCAGCCCTTCTCGTGATGGCCCTGCCAGGATGCCGACGGTGGGTTTTTTCACCAAGGTGACGGACGTGCCGGCCTTGCTTTTGGACACGCTGCTGCTGCCGCTGCGGGTTACGGCGAGGCGCTTTATGGCAGTGACGACAGGTGGTCTGCTGGCGCGCAGCACGAAGGCAGAGCTTGTGGGTCGTGGCGTTGCTTTGCCGAGGCGTGCCCGCTTGAGCACACCGGCGTACTGCAGCACAGAGCCTGTATCGTCGTCGTTGTCCTGGCTTTCACTGCTGCCTCCACTTGACGCCTTGTCTTCTGCCACCACCTTCCCCAGCCGGCTGAATACCCCTGTCGGCTGGAAAGCACAGGCGCTATTTTCAAGCACGAGCCAACGAGGTAACTGGACAAGCCACACGTAGCACTCATGCCTGGATCATCACTGTACTGGTTACGGGGTGACGGGTCACTCACCTTTGTGCCGGTTGTGGTGTCGGGTTTTGATTCGGCTCCTAATCGATCAAACACAGAGTTGCGCACCAGGGGTTTCTCTGCAACAGAAACCCAGAAGGCACGGAAATCTTAACTCACAAGCTGAATTACTACGTAATATTCAAAACTAATTTAAATGTATGAAGTGTCTAAACATGACAGCTTCTTACAAGGGAGGAATTTCATCGACAGGCTGAGATGAGGTGGGTGGTAACAAACAGGATAGTATTCGTAGTGGGCATATGTGACATGACCCAAGAAATAGGAGCATATATTCACAAAGCTTTCAAGTCATATCAAACAGCACACGACACAGCCTAGGAATGTACCCAAGAAGTGCTATAGTATTGTTTTTATCTGTGTATTTCGTTAAGCTGTGGGGTTTAGCTGTGGGGTTTTGCCATGGAGTGAAACTGCTGGGGTGCGTACTCTTGGCCGTCTGCTGCTCGAGGATCTTCTTGGTACGCGAGGTGATGCCCTTGGGCATGTTCACCACGTACTTGCCCTCCATCTCCGCCGTGACCCGGCGCCGCCGCTTCACCGGTACCTCCTCGGGCTGTGCCTCACTCGCGCTCGTGCCTAGCCGCTCAGACACTGGGATGCCCCCGAAAATACGGTTACATGCCACCCCACAGCACCCATGGCCCCACTGTTATTTTTTATCCAGTTTAACTTAACAACGTAGTGGGTGAGGAGGACATTATCCTTGCTGAGGGCCAAATAGGACTTCCAAATATCTTGCTGGTGGGGGGGGTGGGGTCACAAACACACACACTCCTCACTTCTGTGACTGCAAAAGGTCTTTGGAGTGACAGAAGTGACAGGAAAGACTAAAATTAGAACAGTGTTGCCAGGTCAAAATAATTCCCCTTTAGTACTAAATTCGTGTGGTTAAGATGCAGTAAGGGGATACATATAATTTGTGGGCCGTTTAAATTAGGCCTCATGTGGCTGCAGGCTGTATGAATTTAAGTTGTGGGCTGTATTCAGCCCATGGGCTGTTAGTTCCCCAATGGACATAGGGAGTTAGGAAGTCGTGTGGTAATCAATGCAAGTGGAGTATATACCCAGGTGTAGGTGTGCTATCCACTGTAGAGTTGATCACATGACATCGTATCGCTTCCATCGCACAAATCACAAAATTAAATGAATACATATGAATGGGCTTTCACTTGTTTTAGCAAAGAACACAGCATAGTTCTGTAATCCTGACCAGACCGCCCGGCTGTCTGACTCGACATGACTGTGAACTGCATGGCGATGCGTTTGTGTGTCTTTACCAGGTTTAGGACGGGCTCCCAGCCTGTTGGCTACGGTGAAGGAGAGCTTGGGGGCCTCAGGAGATGCAGCACGGGTTGGTGTGTTGGGTGGGGAGTCCCTGCTCAGGCTGTTGGCGATCATCCTTGAGGCCGCTGAGCAGTCAACATCATGGGCAGAAACATGACGGGAGAAACACAATGTCAACAACGTGTGGAAATGCCACTTGTTAAAATCTAATGCTATTTTCTTTCAAAAATGCAAACCTTTCGAAATGAAATATGACTTACGAGAAATTTGGGCTCGTTTCAGTGAAGATGATGTCGACAGCACACCGCTAGACTTGGTCTGTATTCCTGCCACCTTGCCAATCTCCTGAAAAAACAACACATTGCCATTGTTTTAATGAGGGCAGTGAAAAAGGTAATCGTATTCGAAGTGATCAAAACTTACATATATTTGCTGTGTTTATAAACACATCTTGGTGCAATACCAATGCAAAATGTGAATGTGACCAACGACACCTTCCCAATGCCAATGGCATAAAAGGCGTGAAGTCAAGAGTAAAGATGAGGGTAAGGCAATTACTACAAATATCCAAGGAGCCAGGGACACTCGTGTGTTTCCCTCGGACACCGTTGCGTGCGTGTTTCCTGCTCCTCCCACCTGCTGGTGCGCCACCTTGGCATGTTTGAGGATGGCGATGACATCGCCCACCACGGCGATGCCCATCTCGTGCAGAATTTCACGGGACAGGTCCATGAGCATGCTTTTCTGGATCCTGCAAGACATGCACGGCACTTTGCTCGGGGTGCGCAATACAGTGTCGCGACAACGCAATTTCATGGTAATATCCTGCATCTCCGCAACGCATCATCTCGGTAATCTGGCGTCACAGTAATAAGCTCCATCTTGGAAACACAACATGAGAGTGCATTTTAGTGGCAAATACATATAATTTTAGTTTCATGGTTTCGTACAAGTCATCCTGTACTATACAGTTCATAGTCAACAAGTAAAAAGTAGTGCAGGCAAGGTCTTGCAACTTTAAACAAATCCAAACAAACACCGGAAAGTCAAGCAAATATGAAGTAAAAATCAAAAGTGAAATCCTAAAGATAAGATCATAACTTGAGTTCACAAGAAAACAATAGCATTATTAATCAAAGCTCACACATGGAATGTGCAGGCTGGGCTTCCGCAAACATTCCTATATATTTCACTGTATAAGAACGCTGCCGCACACACATATAGTACTGGAAAAAAAACGCTCTTCAACACTTTGTCAACTCCACCTGCCACCACCCAAACGTTTGCTCCAAATCTTTTAAACAAACACGCGACACCGTAATGTGGCAGGATTTTGCAAGCCCCATGCAGCGCCATGCTGTGTGGCCAGACTGGCTCTTACTCACACAAGCAACTGTCAATCAAATTCCTCTCCAGCCTAGAACACCACGAAGCACTTCTCCCCTCAGTGCCGCAGACTGTGTCAGGGTCTAATATTAGAAACCGATCGTGCAGATGGTGCACCTGTTGTCCGTGAAGGTGACGGCATAGTTGGCGGCTGGGCCCACGGGAATTCCTGCATCTTTGAAGAACTGGATCCATTCTGACGTCACTGTTGGGTGGCAGAGAACACACAAAAAAACGATTATGAATCTGAGAACACCCAGTTTACGGCAAGACTGTCAGCTTCTCACTCACCCATTCCAGTCACACATTCACTGCTTCACCCAAATTAACTCACTCAAAGCCACTTACTATTTAAATTAGTGGCAAGTTATTTAAGGAAGTGTCAAGTTAGAGACAAACTGATTTCACTGTACTGACACATGTGATGTGCAAATATAAATATATTTTTAACCAATTCCACTTTACAATAAAATTGTAGACACGGCTCAATATATATTTCTGAATCTTTATTTTGACCAACATTTTTTTTAATATTCTCTGTTAAGGCAAAATTCTAAAATATTGGATTTTTTACAAAGCCTTCTGAATTCACATTGTATCTGACTAAGTCCAGTTAGTGCAAATACATTTTTTCAAACGTATAAATAAAAAAACATCGCTTACAAATATCAGCTATATGTTTTAAGGTAAATACATTTTGGGTAGTGAATAAATTATAGTCTAAATAAGCTACACATGACAAATTGTAGGCAATTATAGTTATAATCTAAGACATTTTTAAACAATGCCTAATTCACAATCACATAGTCCCTGTAGTCGTCGTTAGAGACACAAACTCTACTTGAAAACGGTTTACCAACTTATGTAAATACATGGATTCGAATAAGCAGAGTTAATTTCCTATTTATGGCATGCCAGTTATGGAAAGTTTAACCAAAACTACGGACAACTCCACACCTAACACTGACTTTAACCCTGTTGGCTGCTGTCATTTAAAGGCAGCCTGGCCCGAACGCCACGTTTTCATTAAATCCGTGAAACCGTCAGATGCAAAACTGCGTCATTGCCGTGCACGACTGGCCCTTCTTAATCAAAACCGCGACCGGGAACACTGCTGTCACTCCCATCAAGAATAGTAATGACATTCAGTGGCTAAACATTTATACCAATGTAGTGTATGTAATAACGTTATTCGTTTGTAACGAGGAAGCCTCTGTAAATCTCAAACTCATTGTGCACCAAGATGTTCGTCAAATCCCATTATAACGTGTGTGGGGGAAAACCACGTTTCCCGAGGAAAATACACCACACATACGATTGGGAAATACATGACTTAAAGGTCCGTACAGATGGGCACACAAATCCATTTACACCTCGCAGCGTCGACGGCTTGAGAGTTGTACATATATACACGCGACATCACCCCTCGTCGTTCGAGGGTTCTTATGACAGGCGTGCGAGCTGACTCCCGGATCTATCGAAACAAAAACGTCAGGCCTCGGCCGAAGCCACGTAACCAGTAAGCCTTAAGTCAGTTTAAATGTGCCCACCCCTCTTCCCCCCAAGATCCTCTCGAGAGATTACTCCTCGTCGTCAGTAACTCGCAAGTCGGTTTAAATGTGGCCCCCCAGAGCCTCTCTCTCTCGAGAGATGATTCCTCGTCATCTGGAACTCGTCCCCCCCCCATCTCACCGTTCTTCTGCCCACTCCCAGTCCAGCCTCAATACGTTAATTCTAGATTTGAAGTGTTCCTGACTGCAAGGATCCATACTCTTTGTTTTTTCGGTAAAGTCACGTAGGCAAAATTTTTTTAATAAACAACTAAATTAAATCACGACGTTTCGGAGGCAACACAAGCTTTGATACATCAGTAATTTTGCTGTGACGGAGGCTTGTGTTGCCTCCGAAACGTCGTGATTTAATTTAGTTGTTTTTAATTATTTTTTTTACCTCACTACGTTCTCATTCTACTTAAAACTCTCCCTCAGCTACGACGAGTCTCTAACCACACCTCTGATGCGTACGTTCCCGCAAAGCTGTGCAGCGTTTTACTTTACGCTAATATGTTAAGTCTAAATATAAATATAAATTATGTTTTATATATATACGGCGGACAGGGTCTCATCCCGCGGCGGGACCTCGCTCGCCCAGTCAGCGGCGGCGGCGCTAGGAAACGGCTAAGGCATCGTGGCGGCCTAGTCCACGCGAACCACGGCTCCGGGTGTCTCGAAATTCGATTTTTCACACCCCGTTCTCGAATTGAACAAAGCAACAATTGCACGAGCTCTCCCGGGCCGAGCTGTGGCGAGGGAGGCGGCGATGGAGGCGAAACGTGCGAATGCCGCCGCCGCCGCTGCTGCTGCTTACCCGCTCCTGCCGACGCCATGGCCCGTGCGGGGGAGGGAGACGTCGAATCTGGGTTAGCGGACAATTCGGCACCGCTGATTCGGCGCTCACAACATTGTTACTGGACTGCAACGAAGTCGGTATGAGTAAAATTCATTTTTTTTTATATATAAGATTATCCATGTTAGGCAAACTACTGTCTTGTCTCTCTGTTACTTTTGTACAGTTGATACAATTATTTATATGGTGTAGGATTGTAGATCTGAGATTGTGTTGTTAGGAGGCGGCTATTTCAAGCGCGCACAGATTGGACGCAGCTGATTCGTCACGGCTGAGTTTGTGAACTGATCCGTATCGATTGATAATCGATTCTAATCATGAGCAATCGTTATCGATACATGTACAGTATTGCATTGCGCGTGTACGAATCGATGTCCTTCTACGAATTATTTAGTGAAGCTGCGTTGGCGGTGGTGCACAAATAAAAACATCAACACATTCGTCAATAACATTGTGTCCTTAAAAAGGGAAAACATGTGAGACGACGTTTCGGACAATGCCCCTTTTTCATAGCACATTTATGCCACGGAGGGCCATTTATGTGATATGAATTTAGGTCCTCGCCAGAAACGTCGCCCATTAAATGCCCATATGGGGCCGTCCATAAATGACGTCCGGCGATTTTGAACGATTTTGACCCCCTCCTCTCGTCACACGGCGTCACAAAGAGTCAGACCCCCCCCCCCCTCAAATATGACGTCACAAAGCTCTGCCCCCCCCCCTCCCCAAAAAATAAAACATGCTTCAAATCGCTTTAAACTATTGTCATTGTAGTGCGTATTTAATGTGGCGCTGCACTCTGATGTTGTAGGAGAAAACATTTATTTAAAAGTCTATTTAATTAAGTAGAACGTGTTGTCTATATTTATTTAAAGTTGCGCATTTTGATGTGACGTCACATTTCTCAACCCCCCCCCCCCCCCTCGTCACACATCGTCAAAAATGTCTGACTCCCCTCCCCCCAGGTGCGTGACGTCATTTATGGACGGCCCCTATATATGGCCGAGCGAGATAGCGTTCGCCTCTTCTTGCAGAATGTCGCGGTTCGAGACCACGGCCGTTCTGGTAAATGCTGCGGATGTATTGGCCAATAAGTGCTACAAACCGCCCTGCTTCACAGCGGAAGATAATGGTCCACGACGTAGGCCACTGTGTGTCGGCATCACGGTCCAACTTTGCCAAACTTAAAATAAATATATAACCGCGAATTACTTTCTTTGAAAACACACAGCGATCGTCACGGCCCATTGCGAAAACTCGGCGAGAAGCTGCTGAAAATGAGTCGAGTGAGGCCTTCCCGGGCAAACAAGGGCAACGGCGATCATAACATGTTTTTACGAATCGAGCGAACTAACGAGACATCCCTCCCTCCCTTCGTATACATCCCCAAGTTCGTGTAACATTGCTCTACTCAATAAACAATATCAACGCTTGTCTGTTACAACTTGCATCGTGCTGTTTGTTGCTGGCCGCTTGGCGTTTCGAGCATTTGCTCAGCAACCGTGACATTTCAATATATATCGTATACACGAGAATAATAGTAGAATCTAGTGTGAAATATATAGACGCAGTACAGAAGAGGCGGTACTAATTATATAATTAACACATCATCGGGGGGGGGGGGTTGTGGGGGTGCTGTTCTCAGCCCCCCAAAACGCTACGCAGCTGACGCAGAGCAAGTCCACGCCACACAGTACACGGACCCTGTTGTCACACAGTCCGTAACCCAAGCCTGTGTGTAGCAACTAGCACAACACGAAAACCACAATGCCACTTGTCACAATAACACAAGGGATATGGGGGGGGGGCTATGGGGTTGCCCTGAGCCAACTGGGTGGGGGCATCGGTTGAGTTTCCAGCGTCACCAGCTGCTCGCGTCTCACACGACCTCACAGAGCGCAGAGTGATTCACAAAACACGAAGAGGACACCACCGTTTTTAGGACTGGAACGGCAATCGTAGTGTCACATCCTCGGCCAATGGAGCAGCCAGCAGTGATGCTGATTATGAATTAAATACCAATAGATTGCAAAACACACACACACAGGGTTAGTGGACCACTTGCACATGTGGTCAGGCGATAAAAGTCAAACAAAGTGGGCTCTCGAATTAATCTCTGTAGAGTTGTTAATGTTATCTCTTCGTATGCATGGTGGGGTTGATAATTGGTTTTTTACCCTTCTCTCTGGCAACAAAACTGACACCTTTTTTACAAGGAGTCATGTTTGCATAGACCACAATACCTGCAGTCATAATGCAAACAAAAAACATAACTCTGATAATGTGCACTGTCCTTGAAGTTGATTGGTCCAGACCCGAGACAGCTTTCCTTAGAGCCTAGTCTCACATTGGTTGGACCAGATGACGCCAAAAGGCGCACAACTCAAAGACAATGCACCATCAGAGTATGAGAGCTCGGGGTAAGCATTTACACCATTGGAACCTCATTTGCCAGTTAAAATATGATAATTGGTTTTTTACCCTTCTCTCTGGCAACAAAACTGACACATTTTTTGCAAGGAGTCATGTTTGCATAGACCACAATACCTGCAGTCATAATGCAAACAAAAAACATAACTCTGATAAAAACCAAAAAAAACAATTATCATATTTTTAACTGGCAAATGAGGTTCCAATGGTGTTCATGGTGAGGTTTTTTTTTTCCTCCCATGAACTCCGGTTTCCCCCCACATGAAGCAAAAGAACAATACCACTCCGATTTGCCCGATTGGCTACGAAATTCAACATACTGTATATACCAATAAAACTCTTTTATAATGGAACTGGCCTTAACGTCCCACTGCATCATCCTCATGAAGAAGGCTTGAGACCCCGTGAGGCTTTCCTGGGTAAATACAAAGTGTATTGCTATAACTAAAGCCTTAACCCCTTCCCCAACACGAATTCATGACCTCTGATCTATTGGAAAGATAATACTGACTGTGCAGTGAATGACTTGTAAGTACTGTATGTATGTTGAACTTCTTCTTGGTTCTTTCGGTAAAGTCATGTAGAAGGGAAGTAATAAAATAATAAAAATAAAACATAATAAAATAATTCTCACGACGTTTCAGCCTCAGGTGAGGACGGCTGCTTGCGTTGTGGCCGAAACGTCGTAAGAATTATTTTATTATTTTATTATGTTTCATTTGTATTAGTTTATTACTTCCCTTCTACGTGACTTTACCGAAAGAACCAAGAAGATGAATCCCTGCAATCACGAAAGCTTTAAATCGAAATATGTTGAACTTCTTTGGAACCGTACGTGGCCAACCGCGCTAAGAGGAGGTGTGGGGGAATGACAACACATTCTATGGAAATATTTCCTCTTTAGTTATTTCGGTAAAGTCACGTAGGTATAAAATAAAATAAATCACGACGTTTCGGGCGCAACACAAGCTTTCCCACCTGATGACGGACGCTTGTGTTGCGCCCGAAACGTCGTGATTTATTTTATTTTATACCCACGTGACTTTACCGACAGAACCAAAGAGTATTGATTCCTGCGGTCACGAAAGCTTCAAATCGTTTATGGAAATGTGCAGTTTCCATGGCGGGCTGAGGTGTGTGAATGTCTTGCGAGCGCCACCCACTGGGCCGGGTTGAGTGGGAAACCTCACGGCGATTTAAATACCACCCCTCTCCCCACGTGCGACTCATTAAACAATAAAGAATCTCCATGCTCAAGCCAGCGTTGTTGGACTGTGCTAACCTCGCCTGACAAATTCCACAATCATACAACAAGTGACCGGTCCTTCTGCACAACCGTAACAATCCTATTTCGACTTAAATCTTTCGTGACTGCAGGAATGTATATTCTTTGGGTCTACGGGTAAAGTCACAAAGATAGGTTCAAAGGAATGTTTATATTTTTTTGTTATTTTCTTTGAACCTATCTATGTGACTTTACCGAAAACCTCCAAAAATATGTAACAATCCTGTTGCATGATTTAATATAAAAATATGTCAAGTATAATATCGCATAATTAAAACAACGCGAGTGAATTGCGCGGTTATAAAGTTCATGATTTTACCGATATTTAAATAACGCACCGTGCAATGGAATGGTTGTGTTGGCGAGCGTGTAGCGCCACTTTTGGGGGATGTTAGCAGAGCAGAAGTCGCGAGAGAGGAAGTTAGAGGAGGAAGAACAGACAGAGAGAGAGAGAGAGCGCGTGGAGAAACTGCACAGTGGGTGTTGAAAGAGAGAAGAGGGGAGGGAGGCGAGACCACGCCGGTCGTCATTGAGACGGTCGAACGCAACCCCTTTGGCAGGAGCATGGAACTCGTCTCACCTCGTGATCAGTGCTTGCTCGTCTAAGGTGTCACACGCGTGCCGTACACGCCGCGACTGCTTCGGCTCACGCAGTTTCCTCGTCAATTTTACGCAGTTTCACACACCACATGGAGAGTTGCAGAGCATTCAACGATGTCTATTTTTTATTGTGTTCATAATCATTTCAACTTGTAATGCGCCCGCAACAGTATTCGCTCACTCTCGAATAAGGGGCCGTCCATAAATGACGTCACGCACCTAGGGGTGGGGGGGGGGGGTCAGACATTTGTGACGATGTGTGACGAGGGGAGGGGGGGGTTGAGAAATGTGACGTCACATCAAATGCGCAATTTTAAATAAATATAGACAACACGTTCTACTTAAATAAAGATACTTTTTAATAAATGTTTTCTCCTACAACATCAGAGTGCAGCGCCACATTAAATACGCACTACAATGACAATAGTTTAAAGCGATTTGTAGCATGTTTTACTTTTGGGGGGGGGCAGAGCTTTGTGACGTCATATCTGAGGGGGGGGGGTCTGACTTTTTGTGACGCCGTGTGACGATGGGGGGGGGGGGGTGAAAAATCGTAAAAAATCGCGTGACGTCATTTATGGACGGCCCCTAAACAGAACGACTCACAGGCGCACGGTGTCACAGGGGACTGGGAAATGCAGGCAGTGAGTCGGTACCAATACTTGCCCAATCTCTGTGGTCCTCTGTACAGT